GTGTGGTTCCAAAAGAATATAGTAGCATTGGGTTAAATTAGAACGAACTTTTGGGTAGTCTTTTGAATTTAAAGTATTGTGTTATGATAGTCAGCTTGCAGACTTCAACTATATGATAAAGAATCTGAGGAATTTTGTTTTATTAAACTGAAGTATGAGTGCATGCTAAAAACGAGGACCAACGTTTCGATTACTGTTTGCGGAGGAGGTATCACTTGAGTTGGCGCACGGGCTCCCTGATCGAGTCGTTGGAAGTGGGCCACATTCGTACGGAAACTGTCCGGTGACGACGTGAAAAGTACAATAAAGTGTAATAAAGTAGACAAAATTTTTCTCATAAAATTACTAATAATTCAATTTTCTAGAAAGCGTTTCCACTTTAACACCCAGTGCCTCGCACGCGCTTTTTACTAAAGCATTCAAGCAGAATAACTGTTATGATGCCCCTAAAGGTTTTAAATTTCGGTTTTATTAACGTGTAACGGATTTCAATTCCCCATTCAATGCATACAAACGTCAATAAAGAGGTATTTACAAAATTTGCCAAAATAATCACTTATTATGTGGATCAAGATTCAGACAGAAAAAAAGCTAAACCTAAAGTTAAAATCCCCACCTAAACACATTTGAAGTTTCAAATTGTTTGTTTTAAAATTGTTAGCGTGAAAGAACGAATGCTAGTTGGCCCAGAAGCACTGTAAAATGCTTAGAGTTTGACTGCAAAGTAGTGTGCGTTTTGCAGTCGCCACTTTACCTCAGGTAAACATGGGTGAGTTGGCATACGGTTTTGCGAGAACAGTCATGCAAATGCGATTTCGACTTATCAAATTGAAGATCCTCTTACTGCCGACCTCTTGCATGCCACTCCAGCCTGCTTCATCAGCCAAACTCGGCCTTTCAACAGACTTAGAACCTGGCTCTAAGCTCGTGATTTTTCGCGTAAATACATTTCTGACATTCAGCAGCATATATGGGTTCCGTCGAAGTAATGACTTGTTGAAGGGAGTCAAAGACGTGTGAACTGGAGTGTTTCCATGGGGATGCCTTTCGCAATCAGTGCATGAAGAGTGAGAGCGTCACAATAACTCAGTTTGTGTCAACGCTGTATGCTAAATGCCATCCCTCATTGGGATGCAGACTAACGCATAAAATCGGTTTTTATTTCAACTTCTTCAAAATCAAAATTTCCTCATTCTTAAATAACCTAACTTAGCAAGCTGAGTTGAGTGCAACAAAATTACGGGCCAATCTTACATAAAATTTGTATGATGAATTGAAAGGTAAAGTTATTGAGGTATAATTCCTCTTTAATCTAAAAAAGTTGTAATAAATGGAGTAAAATTAGTACATTTTGAAGTGTGGGAATATTGTAGGTTAAGTCATAATTAAATCTGTAATCTAAATATTTAAAACTGTTTTAGGGGTAAGCGCGCCATGTTCGTTCTTGGTCTGGCCATCTATTTTGGGCCTGACAACGCATATACGACATTGCCGTGATGCGCAAGGCATTTAGTTGTGACTAATCCGAACTGTGAATGATACATTCCTGTTTTAAATCATATTATGCACTTTATCACTTCCTTTAAAGTTTCCTTCTTAAGACGTACCCGAATGATCGTGTTTCTTGAGATGTATCTATATTATTTGACTCGACCAGCAATCTGAATTAAGTGAAATATGAAAAACCTAAACTTTTTAATAGTGTGGATGGCTAGATGCCCAAACAAAGCGTTTTCGCGTTCCAGAGAGAAGAGAGACCAAGAAATAGGCATGGATTTTTAGAAATTAGTTGTAAATTTATACATAAAAAGCAGTGATATGCCAAACGTCATGTAACAGAAAGGTCAATGACCGTTAAGTAGAATTAATGCTTTGTGAGAAGTCCCTTTAATACCCTCCAGAGGCGAAAGATTAGACAAATGGATTGATGAAGTCTAGTATGAAAGGCGCTAAAAAGTCATATCAAGAGGCTTCCATCGTTTTCATCCTTCCTTTGTAATTTACTAATTTTAAATGAGCCAATTCGCAACTTAGTATTTTAAGTAAAAAATCAACCAATGAGTCCGATTTTCTTAAACCTGTTACATGAAGATTTCATTACTACAAAAATGACATATATTGCCTCCGTTGAACACCTTAAGCCAGTATATAATAAGCATTGAGACCTTGTTACAATCTCTTCTAAATGGGAAAACTGACTAAAAATTGGTATACGAGTGCTTACGAAGGCCTAGTGTGGGGTTCGGGGGGCACTGCAGCAGGCACTGATGATTTGGGGGTCGACAATGGAGTCTTCTCCTTAAATTTCGGTGTTGAGGTTTTCAGAGATTGACCATCCGTCTGGTGTAGGTTGGAATATGGTTTGGAGGTTTCGGTCGGCAGGCTCTTGGGCACCGTTGGTCCTCGAAGAGGCTGATACAGACTTGGTCCGATGGGACCGGCAAGACGATCACTAGGACAAAGCGTGTAATTGGCGGAACTCAAGCTAAATAATGCTGGATTAAAATATTTGTATCAGTGATAAATTGCATCGGTATCTGTAAGTCTGTGTAGCTAATGAAAAAACAAGTTTGGTGGACCGGACAATTATGGAAAAAAATACTTAAAATAAATTATCGAAATGCATGCATATGTGCGAATTATTTCAACGTTTAGGCGGATTAAAAGTTATTTATGTACCTATAAATATTGGCTTATTGATATCAATAAGTATTCTAATCTTAAACAGGAGGAAAGCTATTTCAACGGAGTGAACTGGTGGAAATAGTGCAAATGAATATTATTTTCTGGTGCTCTGCTAGACTTCACCTCATTTGTGCTAAACTGTTCCATATAGAATTTTCCCATGTTCGAATTTCTAATTTACAATGCAAACATAACATATTTTGGCTCATTTCGCGCAGTAACAATTTGCATACATTGTACATAACTTGAAACCTCAGTTTTATTAAAATTTGGTCAAATCGCACATATTTTAATCCTAGTACCTTGGTTAATTGAACTTGTATATTTCCGCCAATTTCCACTCGCGCTGTCAGTGCATTTATGGATCTCAAAGACAAATATTTATTCCTCACATAATATCTTCAAGTTCATTATCAGGTTGTCAAGTTCCTATCCAAATATTAAAAGTTGTAGAAGAAAAAATTAGTGTTAATGGCATTCAGATGGAGGTTTAAGATAGCCTAAATTGCTTACGAGACCCTTGGCCTTGTCATAGTGGGTGGAGGGGCTGACGATGTGGTGACATTGATGAGTGGAACCGTCGCCGGTGGCTCGGTGGTGGGAAAGGTGGGAAAGCCTACGGTGCTTCCATGTTGCGGATCCGGTAGACAGGTCTTGGACGTAGGAGGTGGGGCTGAGGGTGCGGTATCCGCACCACTGTTTGAAATAAGAGCCTCATTTGTGTAAAGCACATATTGTGTGCATCACTGTTGTCGTATTCGCAAGTTTTCTTATATTTCTGTCCAAGTGTATGCTGTGGTAAAAGTCTAAGGCATTTTTTTTGGAACAGCATTTTGACTAAACTGCTACCTTTATTAAATGACAAAAATCTAGGTATCCACGGCCAGTAGGAACAGAAAAATCACCAACTTGATAGTTTGCAACCAGTATAGCCTATTTGAGAAGAAGTTGCCAACTATAGGATCTTTTTAAGCAAAAGATACGTTGTTAGTGCACCATGTACCTTGTCATCTGGTTGGGACTTCCTGTTCCTGATAGTTCATGTAATCTGTCGTAAAGTCTTAAATCATATCCCCGTTCCATCGCTGTCTGCAATTTAAAAAGCAATTGCTAACAAAGCTTTGTGCTTGATTTTAAAGCAAGGCAATAAGGAATAGCTTAATTTAAGCTTTACTTTAGCAAGCATTAAATCCGTAACTAGTGCTACCACGTATAACCCACAAAAATAATTAATCAAAGTAAAGTTAAATTAAAAAAGGATATTTACCTGTTCTAGCAGTTGCAAAATTTGTGTTTCAATCGTTGTTTCATCAAAATTTACGGAATCCAGTCCATTTTCACAGCCTTCACATTCGTTCAGCAGTGTTCGATAACGAAGTATGGTTGAAGGAAGTTCCAGACCAACGCATGTGTGCATTAACGACTTCAGACGTCTTAACAAGTTTTGAAGCTGCGACGTGATCTAATACATTTCTTTTAAGAATTTGATTTACATTAAGACCTTTAGCATTTTCATAGGTTGATCTCAACCACGTCGATAACTGGCTGTAAACATACAAGTAAAAATCATGCTCTATTGTTTTCCAAACTATGCTTTTTGCAAAGCTATACGCAGTTTGTAAATTGTCAGCTTTCAGTTCCTAAAACGTCAGCGAACAATACAATGTTTACCCATTGGAGAAGTGTTTTGTGAAAAGTAATGACCTTTTCTGCCTCGTCAGATAAGGCGACGAGTTGATTTAGGCAAGACTGTAGGGTAAACACGACTTCTAAAATTCAGTTAATAAATAAGTACTAAGAAGTATACCGTCTATATCACTATGGTGCGCCATCATCGAGAAACTAGTCTTAATGGTCGAGACCTTTAAATTCGTAACGTATTCACTCAAGGTTGCGTGACAGTACTTTAAACTATATAAATGATGGCGATACAAAATATTAGTTCACTTAGACAGCAAAAATGCAAAGCGCAAACAATTCTTCATAGTTGTGGACAGTTTGAAGCCATTAGGTACCAGGGTATTATCCATGCAGTAAACTCCCTGCACGTTAAGGAACTGATGAATTCGTATGATAGCTATTTTGTTGATAATCGGATCACATACCTGTAGCTTCTCAAGCTCATTTCAAAGAGTTGGCAAAAATATTGTAGGCGAACAAATTTTACTAATGCATAGAAGAGATGGAAGGTACTAGCATGGCTCGATGGCCATGCTGCAGAGCGGAAGCACTACCAGCGAAGACAGAAGTACCTTGGGAATTAAATGCGCAGCAAAACAAAGCGATGAATTATTACATAGCAATGGTTTAGGTCTGCGAAGGACAATTTCGTTCAAATAAATGTAGATTCGACCCAAATGCTCAGGTGCTTTTAGGGGCCCATGTCTTGGTTGAAGCTAAATTGGGTCAAAATAGAATGAAAGAAAGTGATATGAACGCACAGAATAGCCATTAGGCTGTTAACATAGCAGAAGGCCATACAACCTAGTAGAAGTTTAACCTGTGGAGACTGAAGTACCAGCGTTGTCAAAAACACAAAAAAACCTTTCTAAAGCTATAATTAATGATTATTTTACAGGTGTTTTGTCACCTTACGTTTTTAGTTTAATACATATTGTCGCACCTGTTGAAGTTTCTGCACTCTTTCATTTGGATGCACTGGCTGCTGTGTAATTCTGTTCGCGTGATCACCACATTCATATGCAGAAATTTTGTTGATTTTGCCTTCGTTTACAGTGTAATTGGTGCATTTGCCAGTATTATATGGAAATTGTCAGTAAAAAGCTATTTTATAGGTCACTGGGTTATCCGTCTGGAAGTTGCAAATTATCGACCCACGACTGATGCGTTGCATCAGACTCTGCATGCCTCGTGGTGGAATGCTTCGCAAATCCCTTTTTTTTCCAACAGATGTACTGAAAGAGTGATAGTAAGTAGACGAGGATCTTGGTGCCATCAAAATTAACTGCATTTATACCGAAGATACGGCCATGATTGATAATCATGTGATATATCCAAAGTATATTTAGTTGTTTCGATCTCTTACCACTAACATGAGCAAATATTACTTCAACTGTTTATATTGTGACCGCCTTTGTTTCTTAAGATACTCACTTCCAAGATGCAAGTTCAAACAACGAGTTTGCAAATTGTGGGCATTTTTGATCTTACTCCAGGTTAGCATACAGGCCGCATATATCTGAAGGCAGGTTCAAAATTCGCGGACTGTAGCTAGCTTGCGAGTCATCTCTGAGGAAGCGAAAGGGAATGACAGTGTGGATTAATAGCTTGATGTTAGTACACAGAACCAGGGGTAATGGATATGGACACTTACACACTTTACCTAACGTGGTGTTGGAAACCGCGGAGACTAAAGAATCCACATGATTAAAGGACGAGTAAAACAGATAATACACTGAATCAACCTGTTATTTTGGTGTTTTTTTCTGCTGTCATTTGACTAAGATAGTTGGAATTTCAGTTATTCGTCAAACAATCATGTTTTGGTTCAAGACCACTTTCCATGGACTTCACCGAAGTTACTAAAATTAATAACACGCAGCTCTTCCGAAACAAAATCACAATCAGCTTACCGACTACCATAACTCTTGTTTGAATTTCGATTAACATTTGGTTACGGATCCAAAGTTTCTGTCTACAAGTTGAAAAGACAAATGCAAATCTTCATGAACAAGTTTCTAATCTATCAGGACTTGCTCGTTGCCATTCCAGTGGTTGTCTGGCAATGCAAGAAAGTTGCTGTTTCCAGATTTAGCATCCTCTCACAAACATTGATCTGTTTCTATAGACGTTGTGTTTCGGATGATGTTGTTTCCAGTTCTATGAAAATTTATTTCAGCATTCTGAAATTACCTTTAGATATGATTTAATTAGTAAAAGTAAACCCGGTTCGGGTTATCCACACCAGTTTTTGAGCACGACACCGTGTAGCTGATTCTCCCGTTTATACAATTTTTATGAAAAAATGCATGTGATTCCCGTGTTTAATTTCACGTGACGGTTTCCCCGCACGCGTCGAATTGCGACGTGCTTGGCCGACGTCTTCGAGCCGCCTTTACATCAGTCTGATGAAAATATGGCCGCTGTTATTGGGCGGTTTGCGGCTGTGGGTGCCAAGACAGGTGGAAAATTTGCCACAAAAGCCGTAACAAAGAAGGGTGGAAAAGGTTTGGCCAAGGGCATGGGCAAGATGGGGAAAAAGAAGGGTTTGAAAAAGCTCGTCAGCGGAAAAGGTGGGAAATTTAAAAAGTTGGCAGAATGTCAAGTAAAAGATGCAATCATGGATGGGACTGATGATGGTGGTGATGATGACGAAGGCCCTGAATCTGGAGAAAAGCATTCAAAGAAACCCATTAAAATTAAATCGCCAGGACGACGCCACAAATCACCTAGCAGTAGCAAATCCAAAAAAGGTTCTAAAATGAAAAATCATGCGAAATCAAAGGCGCATGCGTCATCACGTAGGAGACATGACACGGACGATGAAGATGATGATGACACGGATTGCGGTGGGGAATTCGGCGACTCCGATGGAGAAGTATCCGTAAACAAAGGAAAAAGCAAAAAGAAGGGTAAAAGTGGTGACTACAAAACAAAGTACAAAAAGGAAACAAAGGACGGAAAGAAGGGT